CATGTCATTCATCATGTACACAATGTAAAGGACCAAAACCAAATGATTGTATTGCTTGTAATCCAATAACAGAAGTACTTCTTACTGATGGACATTGTGTTAATGAATGTCCAGCAGGTTCATATGAAATGGAAAAAAAAACAAATGAAATTCAAACAAATATATGTGTACCATGTCCAATTGGATGTAAACGATGTACTGATTTACATGATTGCAGTGAATGTGATACATTTAAAGGATATTATAAAGTTGGTCGACAATGTTTTCCAACATGTGATTCAGGGTAAAATGAAATAACAATAATAATAATAATAATGAGTGATGCAAAAGTCTTAAGAAAAAAATGTTGAACTGCACAACTCAGACATTTTAGCAGATGAAAAACTAATTCTTTTTTTATTAGAAAGAGCATGAAAAATACTACAAAAAAAATTGTATTTAGAAAATTGAATACAGTCCGTCTCATCACATAGCTTGAAGCTTCTTCCGAACATCCTCTATCATGACTTACAACGTTTCTTAATCAAATTCTTTTGCCTTTTGTTTGATTCTTCAAACTAACTGATCAACATTTTTTGATTTTCAAGTCGGATCAATTATCGTAGTGAGTCGTTATAACACGCTCAGTACTACTGGCCGTATACGATACCGTAATTTTGCGGTATTCTATCATACATACGACTGCATTAAGGGGATCCCAGAAAAAGTCGAATTTGTCGATTTTGTGATTTGTAGCTTGTTAGATAGAGTAAAGTGTCTTCTCTCGAATGCACTATAGTTTATTGATTTTATGATGAGATTTAAGGATATTATATAGGTTTGTTTGAACCTCATACAAAAGATAATAACTTTTTTTTTCTAAAAAATTTTGATTTTTATGTTTCCGTGTATTCCAAATTTCTCCATCATTTTAAACGTTAGACAGCTGGACTTGATCTTAAAATGAAAGCAAAAATTAGCTCTACTACTTAACAGAGCCAGATTTTGTGATTTCTTCATTAATGTTTATAAAAAACTAACCATTCTGAACCTATCCCGATCCCTTTAGGTTTTCCGTATTCTATCTGAGGAGTGTTCTAGGAACACAGGCTAGGAGAAAATAGAAAAATCGGGTCCTGCTAAGTTGTAGCGCCACATCTTGGCTACGTTTTAAAACCAATCCGAACTTTTTAGCATTTGAAATGGCGGAGAAATTTGGAACGCACGGAAATCTAAATTTTGACCCATACTCTATCTTTATCACATCATTCGACGGTATAACGAATATCGAGACAATTCTAGAGAGCTGTATTTTGTTTTGTTCATCGATAGATACATGCATAGTCTTTCAGATGAGAGGAAAGGAATTTTCTAATTGGTCATCAATGCTAGAGAAACCCTGAGGTTTTCAGAAAAATGCAACAAAGTAAAAATTTTAAAAAAAAGCCTTTCCCTCATTTGAAGCAGCAATGAGTTCTCTTTCAAATTAAAAGCAACTCGAAGTACATTAGGAAAAAATTTGTCCGCATAGAAACCATGTTTTACAGCTTGATCCCTGAAAATCTTGTGAATGGTAAGATATAGAAGTGTGAAATTTTTTTTACTAATATACTCCCATGAGGCTAACATTTATGCAAAGGTTCATGAATATCTCATGTACCCTATCAAAGTTAGATTTTTGAGAGGGAGCTCGTTTAATGTCCCGGTATTTACGGAGCAATACGGCTGGGTTAATGTGTCGTATTTCATCGTAACATTCAAATCATTACTTTTAGTTCAAATGTTGCTTTCGTTTGAAACTTAATGTTTGTAGGAGTTGTAACTAGATCGATTGAGCAGAAATAGTGATTTGAAGAATTTTTTCATCGTACATAATTCAATCACAACCATTTAACAATTTTCGACATATTTTGCTACAATTTCTTTTTCATACTCAAATTGGTTACTGTTCACTATTAATTTTGAGAATTTTTCGACGTTTTCTTATAACAACTGATGTCCGTCTTCGACGGTTACGTGAAATTATTAACTGATGTACCCGAAATCCTCATGGTATTTTACGTTGACTTAGACCACATCGATTGTTCAAGGATTTAACAATATCATTTAACATGAATATGTGTTCATCAGTCTGAAATAGTGTTTAACATTTTGTTAAAGACTTTTACATTGTTGATTAAAAACATATTAGCTTTACTTTTTGTTTTAATTTATTTTATAGTACTTTTCTATTGGATGGTCAGTGTCAACCATGTCAAAATCCGTGTGTGACATGTACAAATTCTACAAGTTGTTTAACATGCAATGATAAATTAAATTTATTAAATGACCAATGTGTTGAAAAATGTTCAGATGGTTATTATTTAAAGAATAAACAATGTCTTCTATGTCATCCAATTTGTCGTACTTGTAGAGGTATAAATAGATTCTTTTATTATAAGAAAAAAAAATATATGTGTTTGTTTTGTGTGAAGGATTATCGGAAGATGATTGTAAATCATGTGCAGATGGTTTTATTTTTGATGAACAACAAAAACAATGTTTGAGTCTATGTCCAAATGGAAATTTTTATAGTAAAGATGATAATGTAAGTAACTAACAAAGTGAAACAATTTTTAATTTTTTTTTCTAATGTTTATCAAACAATGGTTTCAAAGTAAAAGTTTATATCGAAATCAAGTCTAAGGTTTTTTTCTTTGATATCTTCATAAAAAAAAACAAAAAATAAAATCAACAAAGAAACAATAGTGTTATATTATATATAGGAAATCTTCAAGAGATTCATAGACTATACAGCAATAATTGAAGAGACTGTTAGTTGGCTTTCCTCTGCTCCTTGCTGTACTTCTGTCCTCTATTAAGCCATCATGGCTGACGAGGTAAGATCCTCAACTTTCAAATCGCTTCTCAGTCAAAACTATGCACATCATGTAAGTCCTAATGAGCTACGAATACCATGAAAAGAGTTTGAGCGTTTAGCTTATTGCTACCGAGATCCTGCATTTTTATGGTACTTTTTAGCACGATGCCGTGGTCCCTTCAAGAACACCAGGTACATTGAGTTGGGAATTTCAACTTGAAACTTTGCACAGAGACAGACCTTAACAAGAATAGTTTATTATGCAAGTTGCAGATCTTTTCGTTGTTTCTACTCTAAGATACAGCTATTAAAAGCATTTTTTTAACATTCGACAGAATTCAATATTCTTATTTCAGAATAGAAGCAATCAAAAGATCTGAAACTTTCACAATAAATTATTCTCGTTAAGATGTGTCTCTATGCAAAGTTTCAAGTTGAAATTCAAAACTCAATTTTCCTGGTATTCTTGAGAAACCAACAGCATTATGCTAAAAAATAACATAAAAATGCAAGATCTCGTGGTAGCAATAAGTTAAGGACCCGACCTCTTTTCCGGGTATTCATAGTTCATTAGGACCTACATGATTCTAAAGCGATTAATTAGTTGGATGACTTCCCTCGTAAGATATACGTTTTACGACTACTATCAAAGCATAATTTGATATTTAATATAAGAAAATTAATCATATATGAAAAGATTTAAGTCATAAAGTTCAAGTTTTTATAATTTACAAAACAAACAAAAGATTTTCTTTTATTAAAGGGATGCAAATTATGTACAGACAATTGTCTTGAATGTTTATATCCTGGTTCGTATTGTCGTCAATGTTCGTATCCAATGTCACTTAATGTTTCTACTCATCAATGTTTATCTTGTTGTACATCAAATATAACTACTGATGATTGTTGTCAATGTCCATCAATATGGGATGGTAAGAAAAAGCATTTTATTCATATTTTATTTTTTTTTTTTTAATTTTTTTTTAAAAGGTTTTTGTCTTCATCCACTTGTAACTTCATCAACTTTTTCAACTTGGTGGTACAAAGCTCCAATAGATAAAATTCGTGATAAATTTTCTCAATTAGATGGTTTTCATCAAACTATCATTATGTTTTCATTATTTTTCATTCTAATACTTTTAAGTATTTGTTTTATAATAATAATTATTCAACAGTTTAATTGCTTTTGTTTTAAATCAAAATTAACGACAAATCAACATGATGATGTTGAATATGTTTTATTAGAAGGTTTTGATGATGATCAAATAAGTAACACAGTGATTTAGTGAACCGTGTCTATTTCAATAAATCGAACTAACTTGAATTTTTCTCTTTTTTTTTTGTTTTATTATTTTTAATTTCAATTTATTTGTTATTTTTAGTTATTTCAACAGTGATTTTGTTTTATTTAATTCCAATTTTGTTTTGAGCCTGTGAAAAATGTCTTTCATTTAAATAAAAAGCAGTAAAATTATTATGACAACAAAAATCAAAATTTTGTTTTTTTATTAATCGAATTTATGTGATCATTTTTCTCTTGCTATTAGTTATTTATTTAACGTATTTTATTTTCTCTTTTTTTTTCCCCGATAGATAAAACCTCTATTGATTATAATTCACCAATCATAAATTAAATAAAGATGACACTTGTTGTTTTTTACTTCGAGTTCTTTGTTTTAATCAGTAAATGTATAGAACGAATTTGAAAAATTTGTTTTTCTTTTTGGATTCGATAAATAAATGAATAATTCAATTGATCGTCAAGGTATTCTTGATAATTTAACAGCAATTGAAACAACTGCTAAATTACTTGTTAATGCATTTGTAAAGAAAAATAATGATACAGAATTATATTTAAATGGAATACATCGAGAAGAATTAGTTACTCAAACAACAACATTCTTAGCACAAGCACAAAAATTAATACTTAATCTTTCAAATACATTTAATTTAACAACAGATGATTTTTTTCAAAGTAAAAGAAATATTCTATATTGAAAGAAAAATTTAAAATTTGTAACATCTGTTTTTTTTCTCATTATAGAATCATCTAAAGAAAATCTAACAGAATCAAATGAACAATTCACATCAACATCATTCATATCGGATGTATCACAAAATAATGAAGATGAAAAGTAAGATGGAAACAAATTTAATCGACCATAACATTTTATTTCTACATACGATTGCTGTTTACTTCCGAAGAAATAACAATAACGAGAGTCTATATTATTGGCATCATTGTGATTTTTGTTTTATAATATCTCAGCAATGAATATGCCACTCTATTTTGGTTTTGTATGTGATCCAATACAATGAGAAGTAATATGAGACTTGATTATTTTCAAATTAAAATCATTCTGTTGAATATTTTTTCAAATCATCTTTATGTAAGACAAGTTTAAAAATAGTTTAATATATATTAGTTCAATGCACAGTTAAATCGAGAATTTAAATTTAAAAGAACTTCTCGAATACATCGAATCGACTATGCATTTCTTTTTTCTTGGTTTTGTTTAGAACTGATTCGAAAAGTTCAACATCTAAAAAAACTTATTCATTATCATCAGTTACATTAGATGACATTATTCAAAATCGATTAACACCAAAACATCTTCTACCTAATTATCCTCTTCTTCATGATTCAATTCAACCAAATCTTATTTCACTTATTCGTAATCTTCGTTCAATAGAAAATTTCGATAATCTTATGTTTAAAGCTTATTCAAAAATTTTTAATCAAGAAGAACGAATTTGTTGTAATTATAATGGTATTAATGGAAAATTACCATATCCTAGACATAAACGTCTTTTACTTGATTTCATTATTAAACTTATATTTAATGAACGTAATAAAATTCTTGATGATAATCAACGATATGATTTATATATAGAATGTGAAAAACATTTTTCAACAGATACATCTTTAACAAAATATCGTGGATTAAATATTGATCATCTTTATAAAAATAATCGTTTCAATGATGAAAAACAATTTATTTGTTCAATTTTTCATCTTATTATACCAAAAGATGATATTAAACGTATTATTACAGCTAAACAAGATTTATCATCAGAATGGAATGATAATGAAATATGTATTTATTATGCACGTCCAATTCATTTATTATGGATAAAACAAAAATGGCTTGAACGATATTCAATAAATAAAAAAAATGAAGCAGAAAAATGGTCTCAATGTATCGATTGGGCTATTGATTCTTTCCTAGAAAAAACAAAAGTATGTTGAAAAAAAAAAAAACAAATGAAAAGAATATCTTAAATTAATTGTTTCTTTATTTTTGGTAAAGACTCGTCCATCTAAACGAAAAACAAAAGATATATCAATGGATTATAAACGAACAAAAACTTTATTAACATTTGAAGAAAAATATAAACAACTCGATCGAACTAAATATAATGTATTAGAATATGCAACTCAATTTCTTCATCTTATATCAGATGAAAATAATAAAAATTTACCGACACTTAAACAATTACAATTACTTGAACATGATATATTTCATTTTTATTGGACATCAAATAAGCAAAAAACATGGTCTGATATTATTGATATTATTAGTAAAATTTTTTTAAATGAATTAAATGATAATTTTCTATATATTTATTCAAAAGATTTATTAGAAATGAATAATAATGATCAATATGAAATTGAACGATTATTACAAATAAAATTATAAGATTGTTAAATATTTGTTTGATGATATGAAACTATTAAAAAAATATATATGTGCTTGTTCGTATAAACCGACCTATGTCTTATATTGGATTCTGTATATTTTTTGTTGTTGTTGTTGTTGTTGTTGTTGTTGTTGTTGTTGAAATAAAATACTTCGACGAATACGAAATGCCCATCAAAATAGATTTTGAATACATTTTCATTCATGTACACTATTCGAATAAGAGAAAAACTGAATTTTTTAAATTTCGATTTGAAACTTTGCATAGAAATAGACCCTAATGAAGATAGTTTTTTGTGAATACAACCAAGTGACGTAGCCAGGAAATATGGGCGTTGGATAATCGCCTACGGATTATTTTGAAATGATACAATCCGTTTATGTGTTGAGCTATATACGGGAAAGTTACGATGAAAATAGAAACAAGCGTATCAATCGACACGGGTTCAGAGCCCATTGCGTCATACTCGGAGTCGGCCGAGTCCGGATCCAGAAATTCTTGCACCCGACGGGCTCTACATGGGTTATAGACAAGGCATTCTATTGTTTATGCATGTAGTAGACTCTTAAATGTTAACTGGTTTATAAAATTGTCAAAACTTTTGGTTCGATATAAGTATATATTCCAATCTTCTTTTATTCTATAAGATAAGATGAATAATATGAATCAGATGCATTAAAATTCTTAGCTTCTTCTCATTCGGTACGCGCCTATTAGTAATGCACCACTACACATAAATTCAGTTGTATATATATACACGTAATCGAAAGAAAAGGATTGATTTCAATTTATACGAAAATAAAAAACTAAGAATAATTTGAAATAATGTCTTCGAACCGATAGATTGCGCTATCTAGCGAATAGAATCAACATCAGTATAAAGATCAACTGATAATGTTCGATTGGTTCCTCTCATTACCAGACAGATAGGCAGGTAGTTGTAAAGAAGAAGAAAAAAATTAGGTATCAATTCATCTTACGAAATAAAATATATTTATCAGTGCAAATTTTGACATAGACAGTTATATATCTGTATCAAAAAAGAATTGTACGAGCTTTAAAAAAGCAAGAATATATATATATATATTTCTCTAGATGTTTTAAAAACATAATGTCATCTTATTCCTCTCGTAATAATCGTTATTATGATTCAATGCGTCAATCACATGGAAATAATCCTCGATCACAATCGAGTAATCCTGTTGATGATGAAAATATGGAAGGAATGTCTGACGATTTACAAAAAATCTTTGATGATGATTCAAAATGTGCACGTTTATTAAAAAAAGTTATACGTGATGAACGATCATTTGATTTACGTATTCAACGTATTCAAGAATTTCAAGCCTATCTTGAAAAACCTGATAGTAGCAAAGTAATGAAAGTCGGTTTTTTTATTGTTTCTATAATAAGTTTTTTTGTTTCTATATTATTCAGTTTATTATGAAATTAGCTGAACCAGCACTCAATGTATTATTCGAACAATTTCAAGAAAGGTTTTGTTCATTCTTTAAAAAAAAACAACATATTTTCATTGAATTTAATTTTTTTTCAAATTTTTTAAAGATCTCATGAAACTATTCGATCTGAACTTGTTCATTGTATTGGATTAATAGGTTATGTTATGTTAAATGAAGGCGAACCAAAGTAGAATAAAATCACATTGTTTTTGAATATAGATTTGATTCTTTTTTTTTTTTTTTTCATTAAAGATTTGCTGAATGGATATTTGAACGTTTAAATGATGTACGAAAAAATGATATACAAAAACAATTACTTATCAGTGCATTTCGTGATAGTATTCAAAATGAACATGATATATTATGTTTAACTGATCATATACAACATATAAGTGAACAATTAAAAAAAATTCTTGAATCAGTTGTTCATGCACCATTAATGATTGTTATTACGGATACAATTATTGATCTTTCAAGAATTTATCCTCAAGTATTTCAAGAAATTTTTCTTGTATGTATTTTCTATTAGAAGAAATACTTTTTTTTGTATAAATTTCTTTTTTTTTTTGTTTTGTTTACTTTTGTATAAAGGATATTGTGGATATTCTTATCGGTTGGTATATTGAACCATTACCAACTGATCGTATTCTTGAATATACAGCTCAAGCATTACATAAATTTCGTCCATTTTGGATTGAACAAATTGATTCAACATTAACTTTATTAGATCATTTTATTGAAGATGCTGATAATTATGCTCAAGTAAATAAATAACAAAAAAAAAACAACAACGATTGTTTTAGATGAATAGAAATTGATTATTTCCTTTTTTGTTTTTCAGCAATTTGACAATCAGGAACAAAATAATGATGATAATATAAGTTCATTGACAGACAAAATTGCTGCTTTATATAGGTAAATATGGAAGTTTATATCGAAATATGAATTGAATCATAGCGTTCTTCGTGAACAAAAATCTCTTATTTAAAAGTATTCAGTATAATTCCTGATCTCATTGAAGAAGCCAATTGACTTGCACACTGTTCATTAAATGTTGACAATCACGATCTGTAACCAAAACAGTGAATCTGGTCATCTTCTCCTATACTTTACTATTCTTTTCAAATTGTATTTTACAAATGCTGTTGAATTTTAAATATGCACTCCTTTGAATCTAGATGATACATAGACAAAAAAAAACTTACGATATATCTTTTGGATTCTAAACACAGATATTTCATTTCATAAATATAACATAGCTGTTCATCTGTAACAAGATATAAGAATGACAATAAAGTAATATATCTCTCTTTATCTTTTCCCAGAGTTCTGACTTTTTAGGCATGAGATGGGATTAGAGATGTGCGGCAGATTTTTTCAAAAACCATCGTGTCGGCGGCAGGTTTTTTAGGAAGAAATTTCAAAAATACATGAATTTGCACAGAATCTCGGTGTTCATATACGTGATACTGTAAGACGTAGCAAATCTGGTCAGGCAGCTACATCAGTTCTAGTTCAAATCGGTCACGGTCTTTAAAATCGAAACATTTTTTTTGAATTCCATCGGAGCAGCAGCAAGGTTTTTTAATAGTGTGTCGCGGTACCTTTCTTAGTTATTGCCACGACAAATTCTCAGCCGCGATAGACATCTATGATGTGCGAAATCAATTTTAGTCACAGTCTCGAAACTAAGATTATGTTAAATATTCTATGGTTTTTAGCGAATTATCTTATAAATCATCAATCAGAACATAATTCAAGAGAGATGACGCAAACAGGTACTACTCGTAGACTAAATAAATCAAAAAACTAGTATTAAAGAACTTTTTTTAGATGTGATATGAATAAATTCTCGAATAGTTTTATCTAGACCGGAATCGGAACCAAAACAAACCCTGTCCTGTACATCTCTAGATATAACTCATAATTATAATTTTGAAATATAGTCGTCATTTTTTTTTCGCGTTAATTAAAAGGAACGATATTAAAATTATTCGAATCGAAGTTTCAGGGAAATAGTTTGTTGTCTATGTTTAAATTCTATTTAATTTTTTTTTTGTTTTTAGAGCTTTTGCTACTGTTCTTCGTGCACTTTCCGATAATTTTGCTTCAACACCAACATTACTTCCAATTGATTATGTTGATAATTGGTTACAAAAAATTTTACATACAACAACTATAATAAAACAAGATAAATTATTTGGTATTTTAGCTAAATATGCTAATATAGCTGTTTGTACATTATTAGAAACATTTTCACAATTTGATGAACAAGTTCAAAAAGATGTATTTGATTTTATTATTCAACAAATACATCTTCAAAAACAACAATGGCCATATGAAGCAGATATTAATTTATTACGTTTAATTATGAAAGTTATTGATTTAGCTAATCATGATTCATGTGCAATATTAGCTAATTCAATATTTGCACTAAATTCACGTATATGGCTTTATCGATTTTTATATTCAAATTCAGTAAACTATTATTTTATTATTAAGATTTTTATTGATTTTTCTTTTTGTTTTATTTCAATAGCTTATTCAAGATGTTTTACAATTATTTAATCGTCTTTTAACAATAAAAAGTATTCCTGTTGTTCAACAAGTTTATCAAGCTATTTTAGCTGATATGACATCAAATTTTAATGTACTTTTAAATGTTCTTCAACAAAAATCAATTATTATTGGTAATGGATCATTATTAACAAGTGATTTAAATGAAGATGATGCAGAAGCAGCACTGATTTTTGATTGTAGTGCTTTATGTCAAATTGGAAATGTAAAAGGAAATTTAATTGGAGTAAGTTGTTAACAAAAACAAAATTTATTTTCACGAGTTGTCCGAAATTTTTGAGACAACGTCGAATTAGGATTTACATTAAAACAAAGAACAAATATTTGTCTATAAAATAATACCCGGATTGTTAGTTTTTCGTAGATTGTCTATCAACAAGGAGAACTTTGGAAATAGATACACAATGACATTTCTTTAATTCTTTAATTCTTTAATTCTCAAACTTACAAAACTAGAAGATTGAAATCGACATTCTTTACTATTTAAAGATTCGTACATAACTCGTAACCTATGAGTTTTAAAAAAAATTCTATATCTAGATTTGAAAAAAGCACAGAAGTTCAATGTTTTTAAAATTTTTGAATAATTTGTTATTAAATATTGAATATAGATGTATGCACTTTCTCCGCCACTTTTTGAATTACTTGCTAAACATCTTCAATTAACAAATTCCAAATTAGCTCAACAATATCCAGCTGTTCATTATGGTGTACTTAAAACACTTTATTCCCATTGTGCAGCGTAAGTAATCAATTTTGAAATGATTGATCTTGTTTGTTTGTTTTTTTTTTTTAATGTTGTAAGATGAATTTTTAGACATGAACATTTTATTCATAATTCTGATTTATTTAAACAAAATGATACAAATAATGTAATGAGTTTAACAAGTTTAACAAAAGATAATTTTGAAGATTTACTTAAACTTCATCATCGTCTTATTGTTAATAGTCATCTTAGTTGT